ACGAATATACTAGGGGGCGAATGTGTATCTATGCTATATATATATGATTATATATATATATATATATATATAATATATATTATATTATAATAGAGAGAGGCCGGGATGATTCTTTTCAAACGTTCTCATACATAGTGGTGATAGAGAACACGAAGTTATTCATAAATACAAAAGTAAATAGAGTCAACCCTGTTCAAAATGCAAATTCAAATTCATTTTCTGCAAACACGGTAGTCCAAATATTACATTAAATATTGTTCCCTGTTGCTATTATTACCTTCCTATCTAACGAATGTGAAAGGGGAGAGAAAAAACTATTAAGTGTTATTTAGAAGAGTTTATCATATTGGCATATACAGTCACAACAGTATGCAAACAATAGAAATTCATAGTTGTCAAATGAATTACTACGTCTGTGTACATTTATGAGGCTGGTATGTTAAGCAGTAGAACATTATACTTAACATTTTAAAAATATATATGAAATAAATATTAATTATGTTTTATTTTCGGACTTGAATTAATTGTAATTTATTATTTGCTTTAATTATTAAGTAAAACAATCTACTAATATTTTATAAATCTGCAGAAAAAAATATATGATGAATTTCTCGAGGGCCCTATTACAGATATCCCTATGCACCAAATGCAAGTGTTTAGTTTGTTTATGAATAATTCCAGCACTGGGTACAATATATAAACATATTCAATTTGCTACAATAAATATGATATAAAGCTTAATCGTAATTTTCACAAAGATGTAAAAGATTTTTAACGAAATGGAATAATCATTTCTTTCTGTGAATTATTAATGTGAAGTAAAAATTATTTTTTTCAGTGAAGGCATCTATAATATTACACATAATGAATATACATGCCATTACATGATATCTCTTTCTATTCAAATTCGATTTCCTTAATTTTTCATATCAAAATTATTAGTTTTTGCATTACAGTGAGTTATCTTTTTAGCTTCCAGCCTTTCGGTTCATTTGAGGCCGCCACTAACCACTGAAGGGCAACTAAAAGACAGAATATTACAACAATGTTCCCTTTCTTTCCAATGGCGCTTCGGTTTAGTACAAGCCTTAGATTAATATACGCGAATTCTTAGGACTGCCGGAGTCTTGCGCACTATATTTCCACACATACTAGTCCTTGTTAACATTTCATAGACGAACGCAGGAGGGCCTTGAAATTTTTGAATGGGCCTCTTTATCCGTAAGTAACTTTTTATTTCCAAATATGTTCAGTTATTCCCATAAATATGTTCAATTATTGATTTCCCCCTTTTACTCTAAAAATTTGGGGAATTGTTATCGGGAATATGGGCTTTCCATGACATCTCGTTACCCTTAATTGTTATTGTAATTAATTTCTTGAATTTTTTTCTACAAAGTAAAATACCAATTCTTTGATTCTTGATAGCCAATTTCTCAATACGAATGTCGTATTAAATACAGATACAGCATAATATATCGAGCGTTCAAAGTCGCGTTCTTATTCTAGATGGATGTGAAGTTTGTGCGTACTGTTGTCCGAGTAACTGGAGTTGAGTCAAATTTTTGTTTCAACGCGCACTAAGTGATACTTCAGTCTAATGTCTAGAAGAGTATAATGTAGAATATTCTAAAGACAGAATGTTTTATTCCAGAAACTAAATTGTGAGTTCATTTAATCATTTTTTAAATATTTTCCCACTGAATGAATTTCATGTTGATGTTCCTTAGTTCCTTGTACATGTTTCACATTGTTAACTGGTCTCAAGATTTAATTTATAAATCAAATGTTTAAATAATTAGTTACACTCAAGCTGCGTACCTGCACGTAGGCATGTTGTAACAAATTATGTTTTGCTGATTATTTTCCTTTTGTTATGTAGTACATTGACCGTTAGTGGGCGCATATGTCAAAAACAAATACTTAATATCGTACATTTCTTTTAAAAACATTGACGTTTTTGGATTAAACTTTTTTAATTTATGAAATACTATATTCTTCTTAATTCATGAGTGGTTGTTTCTATATTTCCATTCCCTCACGATTCAAGGGAGTGTTTTTACAATTCAGTAATAACTTCTCCGCCCTTCTTTTTTTCACGATAAACATTTTTATTCGTGTTTCTATTAACTGTTTTTATTTAAATGCATGATCATGTTGTTGTTATCCCCCTGCGGTATGTTGACAAGCGACGAAGGGGATTCTCTAAACCCAGCCCAACGGTCCCTCCGAGGCATTTTCCTTCTGTGATGTACAGCATTAGTTTCGATTATTAGTATGTCTAAGATTACTTATAATCAGGCACTTTCTAGAATGCATAAACGTTTTTAGATTAGTCGTTTTATTTAAAAATCTGAATACTTTTTTCATAATTCATGTGAGTGCTCCTTATTATATTTCGATTCCCTCACAATTCAAGTATTTTTATAAATCTGTAATAACTTCACCGAGCTCTTTTACTTTCTCGCTACCACTTACGCAGTAAAGAGAAAGTTCTGTAATGTTGCGCGAAAAAAACGGCGAATTTCCGTTACAAAAATCTCATTGAAGGCCCTGGTAAAATCCAGTTACTAAATTTAGAAAAAAAATCCTCTAACACGTGGTGAAGCCAGAATCAATGTTTTGTATGTCCGTCTATCCGTCTGCCCACTGCCCGTCTGCCCACTGCCCGTCTGCCCACTGCCCGTCTGCCCGTCTGCCCGTCTGCCCGTCTATCCGTCTGTCCGTCTGTCGGCGTGCCCGACATTCTGTCGGCGTGCCCGACAGTCTGTCGGCGTGCCTGTCTGTCTGTCCAACTGCCCGTCTGTCTGTCCAACTGCCCGTCTGTCTGTCAGTCTGTCTGTCAGTCTGTCTGTCAGTCTGTCTGTCAGTCTGCCCCTCCGTCTTTCGGTCTCTGGCGGTCCGTCAGTCTGTGAAAAGCGCTACCTGGTAAACCGGGTAGTTGATGTCCTTCAAGATTGATATTCGCCAATCGATCTGGCTGATATCCCGACTCCGTAAATTTGAAACCGATATTTTAAGTTTGCTATTGGGTAATATGAAAGACGTTTAAGAGAATGGTACAAGTCTCATTTTCCTTGAAAACTGCTTTTTTGTATTTTTTTCAAAATTCATTATTCTTTCGGCGCCTTCCTACAACTAGAATTATGAAGATGAAGATTTTCCTCTAATGAACTCTGTTCCTTAAAGATAGATTTTGAAATAAGGTCGTGTTCAATTTTTCGAGAATTTGATTTCATTTCGCGTAGTATTGCGTGAAAGTACAGGCGAGAAAGTAGTGCGTTTTAGCATCATTATATTTCACGAGAAATACCGTATTTTACAGCATTTATATTAACCGTTTTAACTTTCACGCATGCTCATGTGTTTGTTATCCCCCAGCGGTATGATGTCAAGCGACGAAAGGGATTCTTTAAACCCAGCCCAACGGTCCCTCCTCGGCGTACGATCACCGAGTACAAGATAATTTCCAAGCGAAAACTTGTAGTAACACGGGATGGCCCTTTTTCCTTCCTTCTCGACTCCCGGGCCTCCCTGACATTTCAGCGAAGAGGCAGCAAGAGCGAGCAGCGCTGCCAGTGCCGCAGTGAGTCACTCTGCAGGCACACTCATGGAGTGAGCGCAGGCCGGCGTGGTCACATGCGGGGCTACCAACGGGATACGGTGGGACCACACATTTTTGAAACGAAAACCCGAGACACCACATAAAATTATGAAACCGACTAATTATTTTTAATTTTTTTAAATTAAAAAGTAAACACCGCATTGCAGATATATCATTCTACTTTGTCTTTGGAATAGTGAGTATTTTCATTTACAAAATGGGAACTGGAAGTTTCATTGAAAACACATCCCTTTGTTGAGCATTTTGTTGCATGTGTTGATTAAACTTCACTACCAGTTTGAACATTAAACTACCCGCAATTATTTCGAATGCAAACATTCACCACGAAACATGCAAACGAAAAGGAATGGGCAAACGAACAAACAATTCTAGCGAGTCGTCACGTTTACTAACAATTCGAGAAAATCAAAGTCACGTATTCAAAATAACCGTGAATCCTATAAGGAAATATCGAACTTCATTATATTTGTAAAAACCCGGCTCATTATAGCGCCCCGAAATGATTGCACAGGGACAAAGGTTAAAAGTCCGGGACTGTCCCGCGAAAACTGGGACATATGGGATTCTTTTGAGGATACCGGGGTAGGGTAGCGCGGGGACGAATCGGGTCGAAACCGCTCCCCTGGCGGGTCAACCCCGCAACAGTTGCCGCGGCGAAGTGATAAGCGTGCGGGCGGCAGGAATTCAAGGCCGCCTGCTCGTGGGCGCCTGCGCCAACGCGCGGGCCACTGCGTGGAAGCGCGCGCGGCCAACCATCTGCATTTTCCTACATTCGAAGTCTCCGTACGCAGAAAATCGCTGGCGTGGATTTAAACAAAAGGTCGGCGCCGCATTTTATAGATTAGTTTCGTTGTACTTGTGGTACGTTCATATAATAACAGAGGCCGCATACTCGCAAGAATACGTACGAAATGCGAATGCGCTTCTGGGATTTCTTTGCAATAGTATTCGGAGCAATATTAACGTTAATGAAATTTAATTTAAAAAATGTGTGCCAGATACGCTCCAAGGAATAAGCCGCTCTCCACTAAAAAATTGCCACTCGCATATCGCAATATGACAGCAACGTTTTTGATATACTTGGTATGTCACGATCTGTTGAACTGTGTTATAACTATAATGCTCCAGGCCATTCGTAATAATCTGTTTTTGTATTAACTTTACATTAATTTTAAAGGTAATACAGTAATATGTATATGCTTCTCATTTATTGGGTTATATCACATATACTTACAAAATAATTATGTTCCTTTTCGATAGCGCTTCAGCCCAATTCCGAAGATTAAATTAGTTTTAAAAGTAGACTCTTATTCTGCAATATTGACAATATAATATCGATATTTATTATATTAATGAATATCTCTTTATATTTCAGAATTTTCTTACTACGTCTGTCTGGTGTGTAAACAAATTGCACGGAGACAAACATTGGTTCAATCAGAGAATTGAATTACATTGCACTAATTCGCGGATTATTACGTTCTGAATAAGAAACAATGTGTTGCATACAATACAGACCTTTACCAAGAAAACCATTTATTTTATCAATGGCAATTAATTAATTAGTTCACACTTGTACTGAATAATTTTGAAAAATAAATATGTCTGTGACAAGTAGTGCACTTCAACATCTGTGTCAATGATCCTCATGCATCTCGATCAGACTTATTTGTCCAGTTTCCCTGATCCATTGCATAGATGCTGATACGGCCAGCTTTTGCTTTGGGGCATAATTGTGGCTTAACAATCCACACGTTTTGTAAGATCTCTCCTAGATAAATTAAAAGAAAAGACGTGAATGTGGGTTGTTCTTTTGTTAGCAACACTATAAAATCAAATCTGTTGTTCGTTTTCCGATGCCAATAAGTTTCCTATAACTCCAAAGGCCAAAAGTCTCGTGTTTTCAAGGGATATACTCGTAACTGCTTTTTTGGTATTTTTATTCATCATTTAATTATGTATAGTAAAAGTGTGGGGAAGGGATTTTGGGGCTGAAGAAAACGTGAACTTCACCACGTATGTCACACACGTCATACTTTCACTTGTTTTTTGTGAGGAAAATAAATCCCAAATTATCTCAATATTCATATTAGGGTAAAAGTAAAGCTTTCATAAAATTTCTTAATCTCCCTCAGTATTGAGTTAATGACGAATCGATTGACCAGCCTTTCACGTGTCATGGTTCTCTCACACTTAATAAAACACCGATTTAATGTATTATGCGTGTTCTTTTTCTTGATATTATGTTGGCTAGAGCGTTGGTTATATAGTGGTTTTAATTTCTGTGTGATCTATGCTTGATGTGGATAATTCCGAGTTTCGAGAATCGTTCCAGGTCTATTGAATTCTCAAGGTGTTTCTATCTTTAACATATGCATATATGTAAATATATAATATTACATGAATTTGAATTTTCTGGGAGTCTTCCAAATCGCTAGGCCTGGGGTGCGCGCCACAGTCTTCCTAGCCCTAATTCGCTAATGGCTACATTTGCGACTGTATGGACGAGCTGTAAAAAATTGATCATTGATACAATCGTTCCACTCAAATTTATCTCCTCTGTATTTCGTAACTTTCATATCTGAAGTCAAACATCTCTTTAAAATTTACTTAACCTCATTAATTCTGAATATTAAGATATTCTTAAATTGTTATTCGGAGCATACTTGTTTTAGGGATGATTTTATCAACATTTTTTTCTCGCACAAACGTTTCAATAAATTACAGAATTCAAGGCTGTAAAACTCCTCTTTCAGATATATTTCTATAATTAAGAGCATATAACATATAAATATAAAAGTTATTTTAAAATGGCTGTATCTCATTCCGCCGGAAGTACGTTTCAAAGCTTTCCCGACTAAAATCGTTTATGAAACAATAACTTATCATCTAGATAAAATAAAAGTATCAATAGTAAAGTTGGATTTAGATATACAAAAGTGTGTTGATAATTATGAAATGTATTGTAGGGTACACTTATCAATGTTCTACTACATCCTTGATTGTTGTAAAAATAAACCAAATTGTTACTCCGCAAAATACAGAGAAAGTGAACATTTATTTTACTGACAACGTCATTCCTATAATACTTAAGTCAAGATTTTTTTAATTTTTTCCCCTTGTACAGCGGGAACACCTGCTTCTAGTTTATAGGAGGTTAGGACTCCTATCTCTAGCCTTTTTGGCATTATTTGCACAGGAGTCAAGACTTTGCTTAGGTGTCTTCACTCTCAAAAAAAAAAAACAATTTTAAATTACAAATTTTTGTCACGTTTCAGTTCGACGTATGTCCTTGACAAACGTTGCAAAGATGAGTCGAGCCACCAATCAGACCGTTGAACAGTAGTGCCTCAACGGACGCCATTGCGAGCGTGTGAGTTTAGTACTGCCTCCCGCCCCCGC